CTTCATCTTCAGGTAAAATTAATAATAATATTTTTAACAAGCTTTTTTTTCTCCAAAAACAGACAATGGACATACCAAAGTCAGCAATTTTAACATTGAGGTTACTGTCCAGTAGGAGATTTTCCGGTTTGAGATCTCGATGTACGACCATGTGTCGATGGCAGTAGTCCACCCCTGATATAATCTGCTGGAAGAATCGCCTGGCCTCAGGCTCCTTCAACTGCAACAGAACATCAAATCTAACATGGACTCTGTCTTTTCAATGAGTTAATACTAGATACTAAAAGCTTCCCAACTTTATCTGTATGAAAAAAAAGTTTAACTACTGGGTATTCTAAATGTTACATACATTCTTACACTTAAGACTGAGAAAAACCTATACTGATTAATAAAAGAAAACAAAATGAAATCCACCATCCCCCTAATGCTGGAGTAATTGAGGTCTCATACTTTGCCATGTTTGACAATGTAATCAAACAGTTCGCCTCCCGACACGTATTCCATCACCATGAAAATGTCTGTGGGTGTGCTTATCACTTGATACCTGCCAAAACAAACATATCAGATTTATAAATAGAAAAATCAGATATCATAACAATTACAAATCATGGTAAGTTTACACACAAATCAATGCAATTGGTCAGATTCAAGTTATCTTTTGTAACAATTTACTCAATTTTAAAAAATTAAATGATCTGCACAAATCAAAACATAGAAAATGTTTATAAGTTTACCAAAGTTATCAGTTACTGGTTCATTGTATTGTCTTATTTTATTTTTCATGTACAGTATGTAAATTTACATGAAACCACTTCAAGTTAAAACTGTATGTGACCATTGCAACGAGTACATTAAATATTCTTGTGGCACAACAAACTTGGGTAGCCACATGTGCCATCACCATTTGGCTAGGCAATATTGATATCAACACAAGAACAAATGATATTTGCATTTGTTTTTTAATATTTGAAAAATAGAAGAAAAAGTGAAAGTGAATATGAATTCAATATTGTGAAATACTGCAATATAAAATTTAATATTGTAAAATATCACAACATTTAATTTTTCAGCTGTGATACCCAGCACTACAAATTTACAATCAGTTTGTTGAAAGAAGATGGGTGAACATGACGAGCGAACAGCCTATAGTGTGACAAACATTAAGGTGAAAAATTAAATCTCAATTATATCAAAATTTTCCTTGATATTTCATCTAACATTAAAATATACTTTATGCAAAATCTCCACAATTTGGAAAAAACTCACAAAGATTGAAATTATTTGCTTATGAAATATTGTACACACACTAAAGAGGGCAAAAAGAGTCATTTTCTCATACTATAACACTATTTTTCGATATGAGTGGGTCTTCGCTCCATTTTTTTAAAAGTTAATCCTCAAAGTTTGCATAAAAGTATACATTTTTTGGTTTCCAAAAATATGGAGCAAAGACCCACTATACCTTAAAAATATACTTTTATGACATATCATTCGCATCTTTTCGAGAAATACTTGAAGTTCATTAAGTCAAGGGTCATATCACAAACATGATTTAAATGCCAATATTCATCAGGACTTGTGTAGTCTAGTGGTTAGCATGCTAGTCTCGAAAGAAAATGATACTCAGGGTTTTTATTGCTAGGGTTCGAACCCCATGAATACCACATTATTTTTTTTTATAAAAGAATAAATTTTGCCAAGAAAATTTTCCTCAGAAAAGTTTTGTTTATCAAAATTACAGAAATTTTAATAATGAGAACTTTACTCTAAATACTAAATTCACAAATTGAACATGATTTTTATATATCTGAAGCTATAGGCTTTCTGCACGCTATGTTCGCCCATCTCCTTTTTTGAAACTTTAGTATGAATTTTTTTTTTAGATTTATACTAATAATGAGATAATAACTTTTATCATTTATACCTATTTAAACTTTGATTACAACAGACATGCAGTTTGATGGTTAGTAAGAAAAACTCGAATTTTGATTATGCAAAATTTTCTACAGTTTGGAATTTACTTTCTGAGGATCAATGAAATGTATACTTACAGTTTGATTATGTGAGGGTGACGGAAAAGCTTGAGATTCTGGATCTCTCTTTTTATTTTTCCAACAACATCCAAACTTTTTATCTTTTGTCTGTTCAAAATCTTCACAGCTACTTTGTGATTTGTCAGCTGATGAGTTGCAACTATGAAAATAAAATTCTTTAATATATATCAATACATTCAAATTGCATAGTTTGACCGGTATCAGGTTTGTTCGCCCTATCTACCTGTTCGCAAGGGTTCGTTCACTCAGGGTCCGTTCGCCATTATTCTTGTTCGCCCTATATCTCGTTTGCTATATATCTTGTTCGCCATACGTCTCTTTGGCCCTAATATATTTACAGTACATATAGTAAATGTTAAGATTTATTATTAATTTTCATTCAATATTTTATGACTTAGTGTTTTTGTTTTCAAATGTTGCTACAGTATTTTTTTTTACTTACCGTAATCTTAATTAAATAATTCAAATTTGATATTAATACATTTTACATGCTTAATTGGTTTAATTATACTTAATAATGTCATTGTAATTTAGGGGATCATATCTGTGGGTTTTTTTTTACAATCTGCATTATGTTTCAAAAACAAAGGACAGAGATGTTAATTTCTGTTGGTCTGCAGGGTCTTTGATAGGACAGGTATTTATAGTGTGACCACATGCATACATCTGTTGTCTCCCGTGTGCAATTTATGTACCAATGTACATATAATTTATTTTAAAAAATCTATTGGTTCATTATTCAACTCTCTGCAATATAAATAAGGCAGACAGACCCTGTGCCAACAAGTTTTAGGGCGATCGGACTCTGGGTAAACGAGAATTAGGGCGAACGCTGTCAAGGGCAAACAAATTTTAGGGTGAACAAGTATACAATCAGCTTGACCAATATATTAAAATAGGAAATAGTGAATTTTTTTTTATTATCAAACTTCACAAAATGTAAAAGAAAACTAAACAGACATATTTTTCTCTGTAAATTACTAAATAAATATTAACACTCAATTAATATACACTCATCTTTCTCTATTTACTCTTATAATTCTACCAGGTCCGGCACAATCTCTTGATTAAGCTATATAGCTTGATTTAGCTATATAGCTTTATTAAGCTATTCAGAATAGCTTGATTTAGCTATTTTATCACACTTTTTTCTCAAATGTGTTATTTTCCAAGTATGCACAAAAAGTCGCACCTTGGTGCAGTGATGATATTCAACCTTGAACTCTTATTAAAATAATGCATGTAAAAATCACTCATCAAATTGCGTCTCCTTAAGAGGGTAACGGGACGTTTCGCCCCAATTGATGTTTCGCGCCAAGACCATTCGCCCCTAAAGACCTTTCGCGCCGAGACGTTTCGCGCCCGATTTAATCTTCATTGTCTATAACGATATAAATACGATATGTTTTAAGATAAATATTTACATATAAGGTTAATATTGACTTTATTAAAAAAGTTCTAAAGTTACTAAAAAAAAACTTTCATGTCTGTTTAAATTGTTGAAAATAGGCTTATACCATAATTAAAGGTATAATTATCCATGTGCAGATATAATTATGTTTATTCAGCAATCATAATTGTCTGATTCAGTTTTGTAATTAAGGTGTTATAATTTGGTTTCCAGTGTCCGCAGGGACTTATAGGTCCTTATAGGTCCCTGCGGTGTCAGGTGTTAAGTATAACCCATATAAATTGGTATTATTGATTGAACCAATTGATTGGATTAATATAACACAGTATAAAAGTTAAGAAGTTGATAATTGCTGTTAACAAGTGATAATTGCCACATGATTAATTGATTGATCTTCGGTGCGAACCGTCCTTGGGCGAAACGTCTCAGCGCGAATGGTCTTTCAGGGCGAACCGTCCCGCACTCTAAACTTTGTACTCAAAGTTCTAAAAGTTTTGGGGCTATATAAAGCAATTGATACAGTTACTTCTTCAATGAAATTATAAAGGAGGCCAATTATGGTCATTAAGATAATTGATTGGTAATAGTTCAGTACAATGAGAAGCAATCATACTTATCCATGCCTCAGCGCACACAAGGTTGTGTACAGTTACCCAAACAATGGAAATTCATCTTTTGCTTAAAAGTATTCAAATGCTGCAATGTTAGAACTATCTTTGATTCGGGTTGTTGATTTGATATCCCATATTACATATATATGAATAGTCAAATACTTGCGACTTTTTGTCTATTTTGTACAAATAACATTTTTGCTATTTTGAATACCTTAATAAAGCTATATAGCTATTTCAAGCTATATAGCTTAATCAAGTGATTGTGCTGGACCTGTCTACTGCAATTCATGTATTGATTATTTGTCGCATCTTTATATTGAGGATATTCACCTTACATGACTTTCCTTTTGTACAATAGATGTACATTGATTCCAATTGATCAATTTGGCCCATTTGAAAGCCGACAAGGATTTAAAAGGGTAATGAACTTCAAGTACTTGACCTACAGTATCTCATTGTACAATCTTACTTAAGGACAAAAATTGACATAGGTAATCTAAATCTAAATTACTTACTTTTAACCTTCCCAAATGTTCCAATTCCTAAGGTGTCCCCTAAGATGTAATGACCGATTTTGACTCCAGCATTTTGAGAGGACGACGATTTCTCCGCCATCTTTCAGACCTCAGAATGCCGAGCACTGCAAAAATCTCCAAAATGCAACGATTATAGTCAAAAGAAACTCAGTTTTAACGAAAAGATATTAGTTCTTCGGAGCTGAACACTTCTGCATCATAACATGTTTTTGGATTTCCTTACAACATTTAAAAAGTTGTTTTCTAACCTACATGTGACCTGTAAATCAACAACACTGGCACGTGACCAAATTTGACCAATATTTGTTTTCTCCGGAAGTTGATATACAAGTTGAAGGTCGCAATGATAAAAATGTAGTTACCTCGTAGGCTCGTAGTCTAAATAACAGAATAATGTTTAGCACAAAGGAACAACTTTCAAAGAGAACTGGACCACACGGGATTGGGCGGTTTAGCTATTTACAAGCTCTTGTAATTGAATTTCAGGATACAGACAGTCTGGGTTTGTAATTTTACAAATGCTGAACCCGATTGAAAATAATGTACTGTTAGTGTTTTTTCAATATCGATACTAGTTTGTCAGACTGTCCGTTCTCCTTCATTTCAGAGAGCAAGCAAGAAGTTTTAGCAAATTTGGGAAATTTTGCTTACGACCCAGTGAATTATGAGTACATGAGAACTTTGAATGTTATCGACCTTTTCCTTGGTAACCTCTCTCTCATATCTTTCTATCTCTCTCAGCATGTGTAACATTTAAGCACTGAATTCTGCTATTTTTGGATAACAGTACATGACCATGCAAATTGTTGTGGAAAGTTAAATAACGTTAATGAACATCTAATTTTAATTAGATTGTGTAAATGAATAATGAGAGGGAAAAAATGACAAATTAATTTTAAATGTGTAATTGTTATATATTAATTTTTTATGACAATCTAATAGTGTAATTGAATTTAATTAAATTGAGCCAAAACAATATACAATTTGGTGTTTCTAGTGTATTTATCAATAAATTCTACTTCATTTGTATTGTGTATTCTTCTGCACCATGACCTGATTTCGAGTGTGTTACAGGGAGTATGATTGTTGTAGATTTTCAATGAATTTCATATACTATTAGTTGTAAATATTTAAACATGTCACAGTGGTTATAATGTATTAATAGGAAATTTAGGATAGACTGTGATCCAGGTATCAAAAATCCTTGGATTTCCTTTTGTTTTTTTGGTCATTATTCATCTACCTGAAATTTTTTGGGATTTTGAAAAATTATTTTAGGTGTAGTGGCTTAAGTTGTATGGACTGTAGCTATTTAGCTCAGTAGTTAGACCATATGACTAGCAATGCAGGGGGTTCCAGGTTCGATTCTTAGTCTAGAATTACCTGTTAGATAAATTGATGCTGTTGACCCTACCTCTGGACGTGCAGGTGAAAGATCTGTCAGGGACTAAAGAATCTGAGTTGTGTGTCTTAAAGGGCAAAGACAATCTAAGGAGGGTGGAATGTAATGGTTTGGGCTGTGTGAACTGTGGATATTAGCCTGTGGTAGATCTATGGTTTAGGTTAGAACACCAGACTAGTAAATTTCTGGGGTCCCCTGGTCCAAGCAGCCATATATTTTCTTTTGAGTTATAGGGGAAGAAAGAATTAAGACAGCTTATTTATATAATTTATATGATATTAGATTGAACAACAAAGTTACTTTATTTGTTGAATTTTATTTTCAAAGAAAAATTTCCTGAATCTATTGCAGCATAAACTAATGATTGTAAATCCAAGGGACTGCTGATGTTTATGATATTGTAGTGTTGATTAATTGCTTTTTTGTTTGTTTTAATGCTTTAGATTGCCTGGATGAAGATGATGAGAAGTTAGTGCAATTTGGTATTGGAGGACTTTGTAATCTTTGTTTAGGTAAAAAGGAGTGAGAGCACCCACAGGTGCTTGTGGACAAACTGTGGGTTCAAGGATATTTTATTCTTCTTTTTCCATAAATAATCTTCTAGTACACATGTACAATGTATTCCATATGAAAAAATTAAAAAAATAATGTAGAATTAAAAAATCATACCCCCAGTGTTATAAAACTGCGATATGATTTTTTAAATAAAACATTAATTCTGCATAGGGTTCCTGTCCACAAGCGCCTGTGATATCTACTTGAGGATTCAAACCAGTTGTGAAAGAGGGCACATGATTCATTCAGTTAACAAACAGTTATCTACATGAGTATTCAAACCAGTTTTAATAGAGGACATCTGATTCATACAGCTAATATACAGGAATAATATACAGATAGGAGTATCAAAACCAGGTATAAGGGAGGGCACCTGACTCATTAAGGCATCATACAGGTATCTAATATGTGTTTTATGTCAGTTATCTTCTGTTATGCATCTTCCATAATCTTTGAACATTTCTCTGGAACTGCACAAGAAGTAGAAATTATTTGGATAATATATGGTAATTTTACTTGAATGGGCAAATAGTTGACAATTTTTTGCTCAAAGATTGCTTCTGATTTTACAACTTCAAATTAACTTGGCTCATGGTAACCTTTAAATACTATAAGGTCACTATCGAGAACTGTTTTGTGAATGTACAGGTTACTTAAGCCACAGAGATTATCTTATTTAAACTGAATGATTGTCTAATAGGTGAGATTGTTTCATGACCTTACATATGTAACATAAGATCTCTTACTAGATAGAAAAAGTGTTAAGATTCTGTCTAAACCATGACACAACAGTAAAGACACATTAGAAGCTCTTGCAAATGTTGTGTATGATCTTATTGTGTTAATTATGATCTGAGACAAGGACATTTGGTCTAGTTCAAGGTTACATGCATAAAAAAGTAAACTTTTTGCTCAGGATTAGTTAATCATTTATGGTAGACAGTATTATACACATGCAGATTGCTTATTTACTGAGGTCATGGTCACTGGAGAAAGTAGAAAATGTTGGTATAAAAAAGAGGGGGATTGGATTTTAAACTTGCTTATAGTCCCTAATAGTAATATGAACAACATGTAATTTCATGTCTACAAAGACCATGGACTATATATCATCAGGATGGGTAATGGTTGGAGAGTGTATTAGAAGGAAATTATTACATATTTAGTCGGGTGACTATTAAGGCCTTTAGGCATGAAATATTCTGGAGGTAGTCATTAATTAGCCTTCCAATGACTCTTAAGTAATGAACCCCATTAACATCAGCATAAATATGTTTATAGGTAGAACTTATTTATATAAGAGGTGAATGAACTATTTAAATTGCTGCCAGAAAAGAAGACTTGGCATAGTTATCTGCTCTTGAATTTCTTTTATTACTTGTTGTAATGTATTTATTTTTATGCCCTGTTCACACGGAGAGTTTAATTCGAATTAACCGTAAGTTACTGCGAATTAAATTTGAACCGCGTTCACACGGAGAATTTAATGCGAATTAGTTTAATTCGAATTAATTTACTGCGCATTAAATTACATCGCATTAGCTCCGTGTGAAAGCTAAGCGAAGCTAATTCGAATTAAATTTTGACGCATGCGTAAGGGCAGAATTAAGTCACAGGCCACATGTCGATGGTCAGATGTAGGTACTTGTGCTACTTTTGAGTGGAAAACAAAGGAAAATTATGATAATCACTAAAATGTGTTCAGACACTATGACATTCTGTCAAATCAGTGGTCAAATGTATCTGCTCGGCACAATGTGACGTGATTCGCAAAATGACGTCATAATAGCCTTACTGAATAGCCTTTCTGTAGAAATAAAAATTTAATTCGCATTAGTTTACTTCGCATTAGCTGTCGTGTGAACGCAATTTAATTCGCATTAGTTTAATTCGCATTAGTTTACTTCGCATTAATTTACTGCGAATCAAACTCTCCGTGTGAACAGGGCATTAAATCAATATCATACAGAAGTCTTCATTATCTATGATTACAGATAAAATTAACAAAGAAGAAATCTTGAAAAACAGTGGAGTTAAACTTGTTATGAAATGTCTATCTAGGTAAGCCTTTGTTCTTACCTATAGAGTAATATGGAGTTAGAGTAATACTCCTACTTTACCCTTGAATCATTTAATGAATAAGTGATCTAGAAACTTTTGTTTATAATTCTATTTGTAGGGTAGTTCAAATTTTGTGAATGAGACAACTAGAAGATTTACCTCCAACTAAATTTAACTTGACAACTCATTGCATAACATTGAATTCACATCTAATTTTTATGAATGAAAAAGACAGAGCTAATACATGTTTTTTAACTTGACTGCTTTTGTTTCTTGTCTAGCCCCAATGAGGAGACAGTCCTGTCCGCCATCACCACGCTGATGTTTCTAGTGACCCCTGTATCAAGGGCAGGTGAGTTCTACTGAACCCAGGAGAAACCTCCAAAATCTAATCCAAAGGATGCCTTGTGATTAAAATGAAAACAAAAATGGAATAGATCTAGAAATAAAAGACATCCTATTTCTCTTAGTCTAATCTTAAAGATGCCAGCTGATTAAATTTGAATAAAAATTTAAAATAAATTCACAAGATGTTTAAAAGGTATCAGTTAGTTAAAACTGTGTCATAATTTTTAACTTATGCATTTGTTGTTGAAAAAGACTGTGTTAACAATATAAGACTTTGTTGTTCCTTGTATTGTTTTCTGTTTTTTACAGAAATAACAGCCCTACCTATTGTAGAATGCATGTTGAGGTTTTCAGAATCCACAAACCCAAGGCTGAGTAACCTTGCAAAGGTTTTTCTGGAGGTAAGCAAAAATAAAGATTTAACCGTAAGTGAAACAGATTTGATTAAGTAAACTATATAACCAAAAAAAAACCCAAAAAGAATCCAAAACAGATAAGTTATGGATTTACATATACATTTCTGACATTCATGTTAATATAAATTGTGCAGAGTAAGCTAAATAGTCTGGATTTACACATACAGTGCACATCTATGACACTCAGAGTAAGCTAAATAGTCTGGATTTACACATACAGTGCACATCTATGACACTCATTCAGAGTAAGCTAAATAGTCTGGATTTACACATAAATCTATGACACTCTTTCAGAGTAAGCTAAATAGTCTGGAGGTTCTCTGATTCCATTGAAGATTAATTTCTTTATAACAACACATAGATGACATTTGATATAAGAACTCCGTTATCTGTACAATTACAGGACTATTGTGACAGATCACAGATTGAGGCTGCCAAGCAGGTCCAGGAACGACTGAGTACTTAAAGTTCATACAGATCAAAGCCTTCACACCAAAGGAAATGAAGTGACAGAGCTCCAGAAATCACAATGATACATCTGACCTTAATATTTCTATGTGAATAAGGTGCAGGAGGGGAAGTCATTGTATAACACAGGAACAGATAAAATATGAACTACTTTTTCAAAATCGGTGCCTGTTCCTATATATAAAGCATACTAAGAATTATTAAGCTACTAAATAAGAAGCACAATTGTTTCTTAGAAAATGATACAGAGATGTTGTGGATTCTAACATAAGATAATAGATATTATAAACACTTGAAGGTGAACACAAACTATAGACTGAAGATGGTAAATTATTAGTGGACAGAAGTGGGATGTGATTGGAATCATTGGATGTTATGTTTTTGTGTAACGCGTGCAAAGTTTATGTAAAAAAATCCTACCAAAATTTTATAAATATGTCCATAGGACATGAATGTCCACCGGGTGTATAATAGTAATGCAACAGGAAAATTTGTATGATTTGTATTAGTGTATGAAGTTTGATGAGAATATCTTGAATAGTTTATGTAAAATTGAATTGAAATTTTAAAAAAAATGGAAATAGATGATAAATTTTCACCAAATTTTGTATAAGTGCATAAGCTTACATAAAAATATGTTAAATGGTTTCTTTAAAACTAAGCAAAATGCAAACTAAAGAAAAGTGAGGTCAAGGTCACAAGAAAGTGCAAGGTCAAAAGTTTTTGATACAGTTGAATAGCTCTCACTAAAACATATCAGCATATTAAGTTTGATAAAAAAAAATATTGTGAATGGTTTCTTAAAACTGAGCCAAACAATAATTTAAGAAAAGTGAGGTCAAGGTCAGAGGAAAGGTCAAGGTAAAAAATGTTGATGTAGTTGATAGCTTTCATCACTATGTATATGAAGTTTGATAAAAATATCTTGAATGGTTTCTTTGAAACTGAGCTAAACAGTAACTTAAGAAAAGTGAGGTCAAGGTCAAAGGAAAGGTCAAGGTAAAAAAAAAATGTTGATGCAGTTGATAGCTTACATCAGTATGTACAATCAAATTTTAATCCAAGACAGGCTATCTACAAAGAAGTTCATGATACAAGGCTTTCAATAGTCTCGTTTAAATACAGAATTATGCAAATGTTATGAATGTTATTATGACCTTGTTTGTAAATAAAATCTGTTGCTGGGTCTAATTTTAACTGATATGTTTCATTCCCTTCTAATACTAAATAACTACTTTCACTCGATCAAGAGTGCTCACTGGGGTGTGACCAGGGATGCTGACTCCTCTTAGACATCTGAGCCCACCTCTGGCGTTTCCATGAAACCGGGTTTTTGGCCTGCTCAGGATTTGTATTAATTGTTTATAGGGTTTATGAGATTGTTCAGACAAGTGTTCGTCATCTTTTACAGTTAGAAAAAAGAACAAATTTGTGACATTAAAAATCACTTCAATTTATGATAACATGAAATTATGTTGGTAATGAAAGAGGCTCTAAGTGCCTTGAATTTTGAATAAAGATCTATGACATAGACATTTGTTTCTTCAATAAAAATGGAATGGGGAAATTTTCTTATCTTGTGATTGGTCATCTAAAAATTACTTTGATAAAAATAATTCTGTTTGCACACACAAGTACTTTGAAGTTGATATTAAAAGGATGCTGGAGCTCCTAACGGACAATAATAACGTAGTCTTTAGAGACTAAATTTTCCAACAATTTGTTGGAATTCTCATAGGTAATAATTGTGTCCCTTTATTAGCGGATCTGTTTTTGTATTCTTATGAAGCAGAATTTACTCAAAAAAAGTCTATATGAAAAGAAGTCTTTAAAGGAGAGACGATATACATTTATTGACTAGATTTGAGGGCAACATGCGTATGCAAATAAAAATATGATTTCCAGACCCTTGAAGCTGAAATGAGCAGTGAAAGGGCATGCATTTGCCTGCAGCAAAAAAAATCCACGGATAGTAAGTCTGCTATAGATTCTGACAATCAAATAGAAATATGATTCTCCAACCCTCAAAGTCAAAGTTGAAATGAATAACGAAAGGAGATGGGCGAACATAGCGTGCAGAAAGCCTATAGCTTCAGAAATGTAAAAATAATGTTCAGTTTGTGAATTTAATATTTAGAGTAAAGTTCTCATTATTGAAATTTATGAAATTATGATAAACAAAACTTTTCTGAGAAAAATTTTCTCGGCAAAATTTATTCTTTTATTAAAAAAATTAATGTGGTATTCGTGTGGTTGGAACCCTAGCAATAAAAATCCTGAGTATCATTTTCTTTCGAGACTAGCACGCTAACCACTAGACTACACAAGTCCTGATGAAGTGTGGCATTTAAATCATGTTTGTGATATGACCCTTGACTTAATGGACTTCAAGTAATTTTCGCAAAGCTGCGAATGTTATGTCATAAAAGTATATTTTTAATGTATAGTGGGTCATTGCTCCATATTTTTGGTAACCAAAAAATGCATATTTTTATGCAAACTTTGAGGATTAACTTTCAAAAAGGTGGAGCGAAGACCCACTCATATCGAAAAATAGTATTATAGTATGAGAAAATGACTCTTTTAGCCCGCTTTTGTGTCTGTCTAATATTTCACAGGCAAATAATTTCAATCTTTTCGGGATTTTTGCAAATTGTAGAGATTTTACATAAAGTATATTTTTATGTTAGACGAAATATCAAGGAAAATTTTGATATAATTGAAATTTAATTTTTCATCTTCATGTTTGTCACACTATAGGCTTATCGCTCGTCATGTTCACCCATCTCCTTTAAATACATGTAAGTTAAAATTAGACGTTCGGAATATTTTTTGCAAAGTAGGTCAAAGATCAAGGTCAAGTGGACTGTAACACTGTTATTGTTTTAATTATATTTTGTGGCAAACAATGCACATGATAAATAGCATATCAAAAATATGTATATCGGCACTATATATGGACTAATTTGAAATGTAGGTCAAAGGTCAAATTCAAGGGTCACGAGGTCGGTATCTTTGGTACATGTATAAATTTACAAAGTCCATAATATCAGCAATTAATGTGAAACGTGAAATATGGAGATAACGAACAGTATTCAAGCTCGATATCCATTAAAACTAGGGATGTCGATTTTGTCAATAATTCATATTCGAATATTCAATGAAAATAGTCGAATATTCGATAAAATAAATAAAATCTGGATTATTTTGAATGTACATCATCATACTCTAATGGCAGGTTTTTGCGTCGGTATTTGGAAGTAAATCTGAATGTAGACTTTTGTAGGTATACAATAAGGAATTCTACATTTGATATTTGTCTGTGTTTGAAATAAATAATTCATTTAAGTGTATACAACCGAAATATAATTCTAACAAATGATATCTAATATAGGCGTCGGAACCGGGGGGGGGGGGGCTTAGCGTCCCTCCCCACTTTGTTTTGCAAAGATAGACATAATATAGCTAGGTATTGGAAACTGGGGCTTAGACTTCCAAACTTTTTTTATTGTTGGTTAGCCCCTCCCCCTTTCAATTTGCTTCCGACGCCTTTGTATGTACAAGCTCAAACTGACAAGCCAGTCGTCTAACCAGGGGCAAGATTGATCTTTACTCTTCAGATTTAAAAACACGGAATAAATTACAATTATCTGCTTAATAAGAGATATAATATAATCTTTGATACAATGTTTTGAAAACATAAACAAACACTTCCATAGACAATTTTCCTAGGTCATTATTTTCGCGATAATGATTTTAAAATTCATGAATGTAAACAACCCCAGATAATCAAGTAATTGATGCATTATTCTGAAATTGAGCCCTTTACAATATTACAGGCTGATTTTATCAAAGATGTAATTCAATGATCAATAAAATTTATTTTTATAAGTACACTCTTCAAGTGTCTCTTAGACATTCAAGATGGGTTTCATTTCAATGTCCTCGATTCTAGATCCGATTATATAAAACTACTGAAAGAACCTTTTGTATTTTACATTAATAATACTTGTTTATTTCTTTTATACCGTACTCAAAATGAAATAATTTAGAAAATCTACAATATAAAAAGGTAGTGAAAGAAATAAGAGGATCGCTAGTAAATAAAACGGGGATGATTCCAGCATTGTTCTAATTAAAATTTATTATCTCTTTTTTGTGAAATCTGAAAAACATCGAATATTCGAATCTTAAATTCATATTCGAATATTAACTCATCGAATGTTCGAATATTCGTTGACATCACTAATTAAAACAGTACAAACGGGAGCAGAGCAAACATGGACCACCAAAAACATCAGAGGTGGGATTAGGTGCCATTGAGGAGTGAGCATCCCCTGTCTACCGGTCTCACCCGCCGTGTGCTCCTTGAGCTGATCGGGAAATAACGGAAAAATCCGTGTGTAAATAATGGCCTAACAATTAGTATGAAAAACTTCAGTCAGCATATGACTTAATGATAGATTGTATTTGCTGACAAGGTCATTGTATCGACCATAGAACTTAAGAAATGCTGACTTTAAACGAGACTGTTGATATTCTTGTTTCGTTAACTTGTTTGTTAATAACTTACCTCGTTTTAGAAATTGTTCATACGTAGAGCCTGCTCTTGCGTATCGAATCAACTGAGAGATATACACCCCATATGCAGGTGATAAGGGCACATTGCTGCATAAGTAAGGGGAGTTGACGATTGAAAAGTTAAAGTCATCACGTTTATCATAAAGCTTTGTTGTTAGATTACCATTAACGTGTTTTTCTAGTAAAATATCCAAACATGAAACAGACGTGTCTGACTCTGTGGTATCTTTTATTTCAAGCTCACTGGGATATATCGTGTCCACATTCGAATGGAAATACTCTAGTAACAATTGTTAATTGATAAAACGTCGTCGATATTATATACATGTAAATATTGCATGTAGTTGAGTGTAAGATTGCGCCTCGGTTGACAATGGTTTTCTTGGGGTGAAAATTTTCAATCTTACACTCAACTACATGCAATATTTATTATATTACACTGAATGTTTTATACAAATACATATAACAGTGAACCTTGCACGAATAAATTCTGGACAGTCACTTTTTTTTTTGGAATATCACCCGTCGTCAAGCAATGTTGACTATTGCTACGCTGGAGGGCGTAGCTTCATCATTCATCGGGTAATAGTAATTTTTAACAAATGTTTCTCGACGAATCGGATTCAACTAATTTACGTTAAAGTATAATATAACTTATTATTATAGTATGGGAAATCAATAAAGAGAAAGTTTTAAAACGTCAAGTGCCTGTGATGAAAATGTATGTTTTGAAAAATACAGAAGTGAATGAGAAGAAGTATCTACACAATCTCATTGTGAGTGTACAAATTCAGGAAGGAAATTGTATTAAAATTTGTTATTTTAAGAGTTAAACTTTTCCTTGTTTTAACACAAGAATATTATAATGTGTGTGTGTCTCTTGATCTTGCTGTCGTTTTACGTATAATGTAGTTATTATGTTTTGTATTATATAAATGTCTAAATTTCCCCCCGAACAATTCAATTTTGGTCAGCAGAGACGAAAGAAGAAAATAGAAACATGGTTTCTTCTCTCACTGAAGAAGTTGTCTGAAGTCTGTTTCTTGTAATAGGATTTTAATCAGCCATACCATGTTCACAATCAGAATCGGAAAAATGACCTCTATAACCTTTATGGTCGTTTTACATCTGTTGATTAATAGTAAGTACATGTAATTAAATTATCAGTATATTTAATTTCTCTATGATTAGTTCAAGATTTCACAAAAAGAGTTTGTAATTGGTTAATTCAACCGTATACAAAAAAGACTAATCTAAGCATTCTTGGTGCTCAATAATTACAATTAACCAA